AAAAAAAAAAAAAAAAAAGAAGTTGGTTCATGAAGTTTATGGAAAGAAACCATCTGAGTAACATAAGAGTGCAAGGTGAAGCAACAAGTACTGATGGAGAAGCTGCAGCAAGTTGTCAAAAAGATCTAGCTAGGATAATTAATGAAGATGAATACACTAAACAGATTCTCAATGTAGATTAAACGGCTTGCTTTTGGAAGAAGATGATGCCATCTAGAACTCTTTCTCTCTCTCTCTTTTTTTTTTTTTGAGATAGGGTCTTGCCATATTACCCAGGCTGGAGTGCAGCGGCATCATAGCTCACCACAGCCTCAAACTACTGGGCACAAATTATTCTCCTGCCTCAGCCTCCCAAACAGTTGACAGTGCACACAGTACCTCTGTGCCCAGTTAGTATTTGTAAAGACAGAGTCTTGCTGAACTCTTGGCCTCCAGAGATCCTATCTCAGCCTTTCAAAATAGGCATGAGACACCATGCACAATCTGTGCAGTAAATAGCTAGAGGAGAGAAGTCAATTCCTGAAAATCCTAGGGCCCTTAAGGATTATGCGCAATCTCCTTTGTCTTTGCTATGTAAATGGAATAACAAAGCCTAGATGACAACACATGTGCTTACAGCATGGTTTACTAGTATTGTAAGTCCCATATTCAGAACTATTACCAAGGAAAAAGAGATTCACCTAGATGCAATGGCTCATGCTTGATCTTAGCACTCTGAGAAGCTGAGGTGAAGAGATCAGTGGAGGTGGGGAGTTTAAGACTTGTCTGAGCAAGAGTGAGACCCCATCTCTACCCAAAAAAAAAATAAGCTAGGTGACAAGAATGAGAGCCAGTGAGAGTGCTGAGGAGTACAGGACTGGGGGGTGATGAGGACAAGAGCCCTCAAGGGCTGGGACCAGCATGTGATAGCTGCTAAGGAAGCCCATAGTCATCAGGCTATTACTTCCATTTTCCAGTGCAAGAAAATGAGTGGCTTCCCAGGGTTCCCTGCCCATGGCTGCACCTGTCATTTTTACCAGGATGCTGCCTGCATACATTAGGAGAGACATCAAGGGAAGAAGAGTCAGTGTGCTCTGGCACCTCCAGAGAAGAAAGAAGGCCAACCAATCTGGTCTGAAACTGAGACTAGTCTCAACTAAACTTGGACCAGACAGCTACATTTGACTGCCTGTATGTTGTTCTCCACCTTGTGGGCATTTGGCAGGGAGGGTGTTTTGCCACACTCACTCTGGTTTCTTATAAAATGAGGCTCAAATAGCCTAATTTGCAGTGCTTATCTTGTAAAAGTCCTGGGTAAATGTTTAAAAAATGAAAAAGAAAAGAAAAATTAGCTGGGCATAATGGCACATAGTCAGGAGGATCCTGGGCATAAAGTCAGGAGGATCACTTGAGTCCAGGAGTTAGAAGTTGCACTGAGCTATGATAATGCCACTGATATCTAGACAGAGCAAGACTCTGTCTCCAAAAATAACAAAGAAAAGATTTCTTTCAAAATATTATCGCTCACTGACAATGCACCTAGTCACCCAAAAGCTGTGATAGAGATGAGCAAGAAGACTGATAATGTTTGTACTTCCTAACATAACATCCATTCTGCAGCCATGGATCAAGGAGTAAGTCCACTTTCAAGCCTTATTATTTAAGAAATACATTTCATAAGAAAGGTATCATAAGGCTGTCCCTACTAGAGATATTAATTCTTCTGATGGATCTGGACAAAATAAATTGAAAAGCTTCTCCAAAGGATTCACCATCCTCGATGCCATTAAAAACATTTGTGAATCATGGGAGGAAGCTAAAGTAGCAAAATTAACAGCAGTTTAGAAGTTGATTCCAACCCTCATGGATGACTCTGAAAGGTTGTTGATTTTAGTGGAGGAAGTGAGTATAGATGCAGTGGAAATAGCAAGAGAACTAGAATTAGAAGTGGAGCTTGAAGATGTGAATGAATTATTGCAGTTTCATGCTAAAACTTGAATAGTTGACTCAGGGCCTGTAGCTCAGTGGCCAGGGCGCCAGCCACATACACCTGGGCTAGCAGGTTCAAACCCAGCCTGGGCCTGCCAAAGCAGCAATGACAACTACAACAAAAAATAAGCAGGCATTGTGGTAGGTGCCTGTAGGCCTAACTACTTGGGAGGTGGAGGCACGAGAATCTGCTTAAGCCCAAGAGTTTGAGGTTGGTGTGAGCTGTGACGCCATGGCACTCTACTGAGGGCAACGTAAATGAGACTCTGTCTCAAAAAACCAAAAATCTTCATCAGTTAAGGAATTGCTTCTACTCCTGGTAAAGGTGCTTCAATACTATTGAAATGATAGCAAAGGATTTAGAATATTAAAAGCAGTGGTTGAATTTGAGAGGACTGACTCCATTTTTGAAGGTAGTTCTGCTGTGTGTGTAATACTGTGAAATAGCGTGACAAATCTGTCACGAAAGGAATAGATGTAGCATACTTCATTTGTCTTATTTTAAGAAATTGACACAGCCACCCCAGCCTTCAGCAGCTACTACTCTACCAGCAGCTATCAAGATCAAGGCAAGACCTCTACCAGCAAAAATATTATAGTTCACTGAAGGCTCAGGTGGTTGTTAGCATTTTCAGCCATAGTATTTTTTAATTAAGGTATATGTATTTCTTTTAGACATAATACTCTTGTGCATTTAATAGGCTGTAGCTTGGTGTAAACATAACAGAAACCAGTGTTTATAAGCCACTGGGAAATTTTTCTGTGACTTGCTTTATTGAACTATTTGCTTTATTTCCATTGCCTGAAACTGAACTACAGTATCTCTGAGGTATGCTTATATCTACTTGTAATTCTGAAGTCTAACTCCGCACTATTTCTCCTTCCTTCCTGTCTTAGATTTCTGCCATGCCCTCTGCCCTTTTGAAAACCATGTACTTGTGCAAGTATTGTGCTCACTATTTCATTCCTTTAGATGCCATTATTAATGAGAACTACGACTACCTGAAGGGGTTCTTGGAAGATTTGGAACCTCCAGAACACAGCAGCCTAATTCAGGATTGGGAAACATCTGGGCTTGTTTACCTGGACTATATTCGGGTTATTGAAATGCTTCATAGTATACAGCAGGTACCTGAGTTCCTTTAACCACTACCTAGTTTTCCTTTTCTTGGGCTCTTAAACTTTCAGAGACTTCAGAGTATACATTAGAAAACTCATTAGTAGAAATAGCACTGTCAAAGCAAGTGGAACTTTGGAGGGGGGGTGACAGAGTCTCACTTTGTCACCCTGGGTAGAGTGCCGTGGTGTTATCGCTCACAGCATCCTCAAACTCTTGGGCTCAAGTGATTCTCTTGCCTGAGCCTCCCAAGTAGCTGAGACTACAGGCCCCCACCACAATGCCCAGCCATTTTTAGAGATGAGTTTTTGCTCTAGCTCAGGCTGGTCTCCAACCTATGAGCTCAGGCAATCCACCAGCCTCAGCCTCCCAGAGTCTAGGATTACAGACATGAGGCACTGTGCCTGGCCAGGTGGGACTTTTTGCTAAGGCTAATTTGATGTAGTTTTTTTGTTTTTTGTTTTTTGTTTTTTGTTTTTTTTTTGAGACAGAGCCTCAAGCTGTACCCCTGGGTAGAGTGCTATGGCTTCTCTGCTCACAGCAACCTCCAACTCCTGGGCTCAAGCGAGTCTCCTGCCTCCGCCTCCCAAGTAGCTGGGACCACAGGCGCCCGCCACAACGCCCGGCTATTTTTTGGTTGCAGCCATCATTGTTGTTTGGCGGGTCCGGGGTGGATTTGAACGTGGTATACGTAGGTGTACGTGGCTGGCGCCCTAGCCGCTTGAGTCACAGGCGCCGAGCCTGATGTAGTTATTTTGATGACCACATTAAAACTTTAAAACAGGCTTGGCTCCTGTAGCTCAGCGATTGGGGTGCCAGCTACATACACCAAAGCTGGCAGGTTCTAATCCAGCCCGGGCCTGCCAAACAACAATGACAACTACAGCCAAAAAATATGCCAAGCGTTGCGGCAGGCACCTGTGGTCCCAGCTACTTGGGAGGCTGAGGCAAGAGAATCACTTAAGCCCAAGAGTTTGAGGTTGCTATAAACTGTGACTCCATGGCAGTCTACTGAGGGTGACAAAGTGAGACTCTGTCTCAAAAAATAAAAATAAAACTTTAAAACCTGTTACTACCAGCTAATATGTGCAATAGACATTCTGAGGTTTGTCTATAGGCAGTCCTCTCCCTTTGTTCAGTCTTAGTTTGCGTAAGAAACTCAGAGATGGGAGACAGAGTAAGAGCAGAGATTTGGTGAAGAAAATTGTTTCAGTCATTGTTTGGTATGTTTGAAAACTTGCAAATATGGTTTTTATCAGTCCTCATTAAAATGTGTTGGGTCAGCCTTGACAATCATAAGCTAGATATCCATTCCTTTTTTATAGTATAAAAAACAAACTCATAAATACAGAATTTAAGTCCCTTTAAAGGCTTTTACCTTTTACTCCTGCCTTAATTCCTAACACTTAAATTCCATATCCCACCCTCACTAGCCTGCTTGACTCACACTGAGTTATCTGTGTAATATAAATCGTATTATATTCTGCTCTTTACCTAGCACACTTACACTCTATCCTCTAAGATCTACATTACTGTTAATCCTACTTCTCTACTTTTTCCCCAGAGAATTAAGTTTTACTTTCTTTATTATTACCAGAACACTTGGTACATTTTTCTACTAACATACTGCCTGTCAGACCATTTTGTAGTTACTTACTCACATTTTCAGATTGCCATAGCCCTACTTTTAGGGAAGTTTTTTTTTTTTCTTTGTTTGTTTGCAGTTTTTGGCCAAGGCTGGGTTTGAACCTTCTACCTTCAGTATATGGGGCCATTGCCCTACTCCTTTGAGCCATAGGCACCGCCCCAGGAAGTATTTTTTATTTTAAGGTTAAAGGCAATAGAGCATAGAAATTAAGAGCTTTGGGCAGTGCCTGTGGCTCAAGGAGTAGGGTGCCGGTCCCATATACCATAGGTGGTGTGGTCAAACCTGGACCTGGCCAAAAACTGCAAAAAAAAAAAGAAAGAAAGAAATTCAGAGCTTAAGTTCTAGTGGCTGATGCCTGTAATTCCAGCACTTTGAGAAAGCAAGAAGTTTGCTTGAGGCCCGGAGTTCAAGACTAGCCTAAGTAACACAGTGAAACTCCCCCCTCCCAGAAATTTTCTTTTTTCAATTAGCTGGTCACAGTGGCTCATACCTATAAATCCTAGCACTCTGTGAGGCTAAGATGGTCAGATCCCTTGAGCTCAGGAATTCAAGACCAGCCTAAGCAAGAGCAAGAACCTGTCTCTACTAAAAATAAAAAAGTTAGCCAGGCATTGTCCTGGTGCCTATAATCCCAACTACTCAAGAGGCTGAGGGAGGAGGATTGCATGAACACTCAGGAGTTTGAGGTTGCTGTGAGCTAGGCTGATGCCATGGCCCTCAAGCCTGGGCAACAGAGAGAGATCTTCAAAAAAAAAAAAAAAATCTCTGAAGAAATGCTTTTATAATGGAACACTGATTAATTCATTTATACAGGTAGTTATTGCTACACTATGTGCAAAGCACCATAGTGGATATAAAGGTAAACAGTATGTGTTCTGCCTTCAACAAAGTAATAATTTGGTGAGGAAGCTTTATACAAGTCAATGAGCAATAACGATAGCATGGTAAGTGTAGCGATTAAGCAAAGAGTGCTATTAATATAGCAGCAGGGTGTAAAAGGATACCTGTCCCAGGCTGAATCAGCAAAGTTTTTTAGAAGTTACATCTGAGCTCTTACAGAGGAAAAAGGGAGAAGAGTGCTCCAGCAGGGGAAGCAGCATGAGTAGAGATCCAGAGGTCAAAAAGATCATAGTGCTTCCAGGGAACTGCTAATGGATTCAGTGGTTTTGGAGTATGGAGTGGAAAGGAGTAAAGCCATATAGTTGTGGTAAAGTCATAAATACCTCTCATCTTAACTACTATAGTAACTTTGTACTTGGTCTTTCTGCTTCTATTCTTGTTCCTCTACATGTATTTCTACACATTAACCAGAGTGATCTTTTTAGTATACAAATCATATTCTCTTACTCTTGTATAAAACCTTCTTTTGGCTTTTCATCTTTCTGAGAATAAAGTACTTCTTAGCAAGGCTTATAAAACTCTGTGTCAGTAATTCTGACCTTTTATTATCCCATGGACTTCCTTAGCAGTCTGGTAAAGAAGAGTTTGAGAGAGGGCCTACTAAAAGTTATGTTCGAGACAAATAGGGTCAGATGCTAATAGAAAGTATTCAGACTATAATTAATAGATGAAAACATAGCTTTGGGGTGGCGCCTGTGGCTCATTGGGTAGGCCGCCAGCCCTGTGTACCAAGGGTGGCGGGTTCAGCCCCAGCCCCAGCCAAACTGCAACAAAAAAATAGCCAGGCATTCTGGCGGGCGCCTGTAGTCCCAGCTACTCGGGAGGCTGAAGCAAGAGAATCACCTAAGCCCGGGAGTTGGAGGTTGCTGTGAGCTGTGTGTTGCCACGGCACTCTACCAAGGGTGAGATAAAGTAAGACTCTTTCTCTACAAAAAAAACCCCCAAAAAACATAGCTTTGCTTTTTTGAAAAATCACTCTGGCTGTAGAGAGGATGACACTGAACGTAATATAATGAAGCTCTTAAGATTGGTCAATATTGGAGCCACAGGAGTAGATCACAACACATAGGGAGAGTATATTGGGTGAGAAGAGGGTCTGCAGTGTTGGTTTTTTTTGTTTGTTTGTTTTTACAGTCTACAAGATTTATTGGTGTGGCCAGGTGCAGTGGCTCATGCCTGTAATCCTAAATTCTGAGAGGCTAAGGCAAATGGATTGCTTGAGCTCAGGAGTTTGAGATCAGCCTGAGCAAGAACAAGACCCCCATCTCTAAAAATAGTTGGGTGTTGTGGCAGGCATCTGTAGTCCCAGCTACTTAGGAGGCAGAGGCAACAGGATTGCTTGAGCCCAAGAGTTTGAGGTTGCTGTGAGCTGTGATGCCATGGTACTCTACCCATGGCAACAAAATGAGACTGTCTCAAAAAAAGAGAAAAGGATTCAAAAAGATTTATTGGTGTTTCCTTAAATAGTCAAAGGTGTAAGAATCTGTGTTTTTAGGAGAAAGGTAAGTTATTGGCTGGCTTACACAAAAGATGTAACATCCCACCAAGGACACAGATGGTACACATGGAAGGAAAGAGTTGTTGAGAATCATTAGTTCTTTCCTACATCAATCTAGGAGTACCTGTCAACCTGTATCACAACTGCAAACAGTTTAAACAGTTGATTCTAATCCTTATTTTGAAAGGACTAAATGAGGGCAGTCAGTCCAACCTGTCCTATTTGTCCAGATCAAAGCCAGGTGGCTATGAACTGCCCCTACAGAATCTGTGAGTAAAGGCTATGGGATGAGAATGAGGAAGACATCAGGAGGTGTTATCAAATCTTTTGCATCGAAGGTATAGGAGTTGGAGCCAAACTCTGCTGCTTCCAGTAGACTTCCCAGTAAGGTTAAGGGGAGTGACGATTTAAATCAAGATCAGAGCCATCTAACAGGTTATAGCATACACAGCATTCAGAAAAACTATACTTTCAACGATTTGGAAGAGCTGTACCAGGGCATTTTTCTTCATAAGGAAGGTTCCAAGGGTGGTTCTGAAAATCCGCCAGGATCATCTCTTGGTCTGTGTTGAGATGCCATGGCGGTTGCTAAGTTCTATAGTTGAGGGAGCAAAACGTGTACCTGGGAGGGAGAGGGCGCCTCCTGTGGCCCTGTGGGCTAATGGGCAGGGCTAGGCACTCATGCATGCACTTGATAACCTTCAGGCACCCTGGCTGCCAACTTGTGCCCTGGAGTTAGGGGACCTAAATCCAATGCTGATTTGAGCTCCACTTTTTCTACTTTTTTGCACTTTTAAGTCATATCATCTCTCTAAATCCAGAGTTAATCTAGATTTTTGATGCTATGTTAATGTGTGTTTTTACATGGTTCATAAATCAGGATCTCAAGACTTGCCCCCAGTTCAAGGCTTTCTACAGCATTACCTTTCTTTTGTGAATTACTGCTGTGCGAATGCATTGTCCTCAGTGACTAGGCTAGATGGTAGCTTCATGGCATTGCACTAGCTTCTTGGGTTTTCTCCTTCCTCACTTCACTGTATGGGTAGGATTGGAGTGATGGAAACTTCTTGGATTAATTCTCTGCCTTTTTTGTAGGTGGACTGCTCAGGTTATGAGTTGGAGCAGTTACACACTAAAGTGACTTCATTGTGCAACCGGATAGAGCAGATCCAGTGTTACAATGCCAAGGATCGACTAGCTCAGTCAGGTATACATCTAGCCTCTTCCCGCCTTCCTGCCTGCTTGCTTCTTGTCTTTGTAATTATTATACCCTAACCCCCATCATTGGTGCTTACTATATTTTTTCTTTCTAGACATGGCCAAACGTGTAGCCAACCTGCTGCGGGTGGTACTGAGTCTGCAGCATGCTCCTGATACAGCCTCTGATTCAACACCAGACCCTCAGCGAGTCCCTTTGCGCCTGTTGGCTCCCCACATTGGCCGGCTCCCCATGCCTGAGGACTATGCCTTGGAGGAACTGCGCAGCCTCACACAGTCCTATCTGCGAGAACTGACTGTTGGGAGCCAGTGAGCCCTAGGCTCTGCACCACACTCACATGCCCATTCACACTCACCACACAGAGGTCCCCTGCATTGTTGTGATCAGTACTGTTTGCCCTTCTCTGAGTTGGCTACGGAATCCGCTCTCCCTTCCTGCTGCCACAAGCAGCACCTTCCAGTTGTTCAGGGCTTTTCATAATACTGAACATAGCATAAGGGCTTTTAGAACCCCCAAAATCAGACATCCTTTTACCATCCTCAAGACCAGTTTTTTTTCCTTTTTAAAAATGGTCAATAAAGCTCCTTTGGCAGAATCCAAAAAAACCCCAGGGAATCCTTTTCTATTCCCAGCCATTCTGGATCTTGTGACTCTCCATGCCAACCCGCTACTCTACTTGTACCCCAGACTTCTGTACTATAGATAAGTGAGACTGGTTATGGAACAAATGAACTATCCTTCCTTAGCAGGAAGAGGGGGAATCTTTCTGAAGTAGCCTGGTCAGTTAACACTGAGTTTTGGAGTCAGAAGAGGGTTGGCTTGAATTAGGAAATAGTAGATCTTCCTAACACCTCTAAGATAGAAGTGAATTGCTGCCATGGAACAATCTAGCTTTGAGGCTTGTTTTGTTCCTGACTTGAATGAATATTCCACGAACACCATACCTTTCCTACTACCATGTGCAGCAGTCCTAAGTCACATATCATGTGTCTGGTAAACTCCCAGAATTCAGTTTCATCCCTGGTTTTCAGCAATCTTCATGGAACTCTGGATTTACCCAAAGAGTTTGGATTAAAAGTGGCTGATGAGGTAGCCCTTCCTGTTCCTCCTGTATTAGTCCCCAAACATTTTTCACCCTCCAATTTCCCTCCCAGATGGTAAAATTATCACTGAGGCAGGCAAACAGCTGGGCTTTAGGTGTAGGCAGAGGACCTTTGCTACACTGCTGCCAGCTATGGGGGAGCCACAGGTAATGACCTGAGACAGCTGGTATTAGAGCTGTCACAGGCAGTATGGCTACCCTGGGGTCTTTATGCATGATGATTATGTAAAGGTTTTTATTAAAAATATATATATATTATATATATATATAAATAAATGATCTAGATTATTTTCCTCTTTTTGTGAAGCTACTTTCTTAAAAAAATAAAAAAATAATAAATGAAATGTTTATAGTATTATTGGTATTGGCTTTCCCTTTGTATTTTTGAACCTTCTTGCCCCAAGGATCTTTATGGATGGCATTGTTTGATTTGGCCTGTTTTTGAATTTACAATCTAAATGAAGATAGGCCATGGGTTAAAGAGAGACAATTTGTTGCTAAACAAAGATACAGACTAGCCAAAAAAACTAGATTTATAAGGGCATATTGGGGGAAAGGGAATTGATTATTGATTGATACCAAATGCTGTACATATATTTATACACATAAATTCCCAGTTGAGGTCTGAAATTGCACGGTAGAATTAGCATGCAACACCTACTTGCTCTTTTGTTTTTCAACTTTGGCTGACATTTGTCTTTGCTAAACTCAGATTCCTTTGCATAAAGGGGATAACAATCCCTAATACTGCTTCTTCACAGAGAGTTTTATTTTCGAGAGGTATCAAATGAGTGACATGAGTACTATTCAGATCTTATTTTGATTTGCCAAACTAAGGTTATGAGCAAATTCTAATTTGAATTAGGCCAAAGGCTTCTAGGACATCAAGGAACTGAGGTATGAGAAAGTGGAGTGGGTCTGTCTTTGTGGCTGGGCTGTCCGTTAAACTTGGTCTCCTGAGGACGTAGGTTACTCAGCTGGGAATCTCCCCTCCATTAATGACTTTTCTTGCCTTGTGAAACTGAATGAGTCATAGCAGTGTGTGTGTGTGGTGGGGAGGATTCCTGGCAAAGAATTCCTGATCCTTTCTCCCCAGAGGTGGTTTTCCAAAACTGGGTATGGGGTGGCACCCATAGGGTGTGCTAGAAATGGTTAGCTTTTAGCAGTGTCATAAGAATTGTGAATTTGTGTAATATTTTTTCTTAGAGCAAGTATTTTTTCCTTTATATTAAAAAAGGCTCTAAAAACAAAAAAAAATTTTTCTTTTTTCTTTTTTTTTTTTTTTTGAGACAGTTTCACAATGTCAACCTCAGTAGAATGTGGTGTGGTGGTGTCATAGCTCACAGCAACCTCCAACTCTTGGGCTTAAGCAATCCTCTTGCTTCAGCCTCCCAAGTAGCTGGGGCTACAGGCACCCGCCACAACGCCTGGCTATTTTTTGGTTGTAGTTGTCCTTTGGCAGGCGTGGGCTGGATTCAAATGCACCAGCCTTGGGTGTATGTGGCTGGTGCCCTACCTGCTGAGCTACAAATTTTTCAAAATTTAAGGCTCCAGATCAGGGGTGTCCAACCTGGTGCTGCTTGCTGATTTTGTAAGGAGTTTTTTTTTTTTTTTTTTTGCTCTTAAAAAAACCCTGAGGCCCCAATCTTTCCAGCCCTAAATAGCTACTAATCTACTTCTGGTCTCTAGGTTTACCAACTCTGGACATTACATATATATATAAGGGGAATCATACAATATGTGGTCTTGTTACTGGCTTGTTTCAGTTAATATTTCAAGGTTCTTTCAAGAGCCAGGGTCTTGGTATGTTGCCCAGGCTACCTTGCAATGACATTTCAGAGACATTATCATGAAAACACTACAGCCTTGAACTCTTGGGCTCAAGTGACACTCTTCTCTCAGCCTCCCAAATAGGTGACACTACAGGCACATACCTGTTGCCCATAATTTTTACATTCATTGAATGACATTCATATTGTTTCCATGCTTCTACTTTGTGACTACTATAAATAATGCTAGTATGGACATTCATGTATAAGTTTTTGTGTGGACGTATTTTCATTTCTTTGGGGTATATGCCTAGATGTGAAATTGCTGGGACATATGGAAACCCAGACTATGCAAAACCTTTCCAAAGTGGCTGCACTGATTTACATTCTCACTAGCAACATGTCAGTGTTCTGATTTTTCCAAATTTCACCAGATCATTTATCATTTTGATTACAGCCATCCCTTGTGGTTATAATTTGCATTTCCCTGGTGCTATGGTCTGAATGTTTGTGTCCTAACCCTCAAATTCATATATTGAAATCTAGTCTCAAATGTGGTGGTGTTAGGAGGTGTGTGACCTTTGGTAAGTGATTAGGTCATGAAGGAAGTGCTATCTGTGGAATCGGGAAACAAGCCCTCAACAGTTACTGGATCTGCTGGTATTTTGATCTTGGATTTACCAGTCTCCAACACTGTGAAAAACAAATTTCTTTTGTTTATAAGCTACCCAGTCTTTGATATTTTGTTATAGTAGCCCAGTAAGACACTTGGCTGATGATGAGGTTGAGCATCTTTTTTTTTTTTTTTTTGCAGTTTTTGGCCACAGCTGGGGCCACCTCCAGTATATGGGGCCAGCGCCCTACTCCTTTGAGCTTTGAGCCACAGGCACCACCTCTATATTGAGCATCTTTTTTTGTGCTCATTGGCCAACTGTATATTTTTTTTGAGAAGTGTGTATTTAAATTCTTTACCCAGGCACCTGTAGCTCAGCAGCTAGGATGGCAGCCACGTACACTAGAGCTGGCAGGTTTGAACCCAGCCTGGGCCTGCCAAACA